GCGGAAGTGACTGCTATAAACAGCTTTCAACCTGACTTCTACATGCGGAAGGAGAGTGTGGTATGGTTTCAGTTTATAACTCTTTAATTAACTCACCTAGCGTTAGATAGCATTAGTTGTTGCTTTCAGATGATGCGGAATATTTGTAGCTCAGGATGGTAATTTTGATGAAGTTGTGTCCTTTTAGATGGATGGTTTATTCGTGGGGCTTTCACTGTCATTCCATACAACGCCATCAGCAGCATAAACTACAGTGAGAAGTGAGCTGAACAATTTGTGGAGGAGACCTTAGAGTTCACTTCTTCCTGAAATTTGTGCTGATTATGTTGTCTAGAATGACAATGAAAGCTTTATGGTTGAACAGTCCAGCTTAGAGAAAGCAAAATCATCAAAATTGTTGCTTTCTTATACTTCTTACCCGTATTTACTAATAGCCATTGGGCTTTTAGTCTGTATATAACTCAGGAGTATTTCAAATTTATCAATGGATCCAAATACATGAAATTCTCCGGATGATATCGGCTTTCGATGAGGAATAGACTTCCAAACTACCAGAAAGTTGTGGTTGATCTGTGGGATAAAAATAAAACACCATAAAGTCAGAAATAAAGATAATCAGAGTTAAAAGTGAAGATCAATAGTTTTATTTCTATCTAAAGGTTTGTGGAGATTTATTAATTGATTTTAGATTAGAATTCATCATGAAGTGACATCAGTTAGAGGAATGTTGAAAACATGGGAGCACCGGACAACTGTTTCGTCCTAGTGTGGGACTCCTCAGCAGTGTGAATGCATGGCCCCACCACAAACCTCTAGATAGAATTAATCTAGTGCTCAGTGGTGACTAGCTTCGATGGATGATTCCTGAAGTTCCAATGAGAAGTTATGACCAGTGCAGTCAACCAAGTCGGACATGAGAACAGTTACTCAACGATGACATCGGATGTAGGTCGCGCTATATCGTGAACTGACAGAAGTAGGAAAAGTGCTAGCGGTGGAACCTGAAGACCCTGGGCTCAACCCCTGGCACACTGCTGAGGAGTCCCATAATAATAAGAGACAGGGGTCCAGTGCTCCCAGGTTTCCAATGTTTCTCCAACTGATGTTAGTCCATGACGAATTGCAACCTAAAATTGTTTTATTTGTCTACTTATGCGGACAAGAATCGGAATTCGATTAAAAGTTACGGTTTATGACTGACCTTCGGATATCCAGCAGTGATATTCATGTCAGAAGATAAATTAACCAGTGTGTTTGGAGAGAAATATTATTTCAAAGAGATAAAAATGTTGAATTCTGATATATTATTGTTAGGGTTTTTATTGTTTTCTGGATGTTTACACTTTATTCCTGTTCTACACAAGCGAATAAACTAAACCATATTCGAGTGTTTGAAGTATATCAGTCAATGTTGGGTTTTTATCTCAGTTTCACTTTTCATCGAAATTTCGATCCGTCCAATCGGTTCCACTTCTCTAGTCACTTATGACAATAAAAAAAGTAATAATAGAAGACATGGTAAAGGGAGAATGATACATTTTGAAGCCAACCTTGGTAATAGGATAGGATAAGGATTATCAGGGTAGATCTAATGTAATAAAAAACTGTTTTCGAACACACTAGTGAGGAGGATTAAATTGATATACGGCTAACGCTTCAAAAAATCTGAGTATACACCTCTGAGGGTTTCTACGTAATAAAGGCTCTGTTTGTTTATTAGATATATCATTCAGTGAAACAGTATTCTTTACTGGAGAGCGTTTCGGATATAATTTATTGTCCACATTCATGTCAGGGGCTGTGTCCAAACACACATGTAAGCTGGCACATGCAGTGGAATGTGAAGCAGTCGTTTGTGACATATTTGATGCAATATGCGTTTCTTTTTCTTAACTGTGACAAAGCTATCTGCATAATATATGTTTTACTGATGATAGACTTTAGTCTTCGTTTTCAAATTACACTAATAGATTCTCATCTGTATGGTAACGTGATATCAAAACCTTTATTTGCAAAAGAATAGAGAGCGGGTTTCAACAGTGAGTGCTTTCGACAACGATTCATGACCATGAATGGATATCCATGTTTTTGATATTTCACTTAGTAGTTAAGTGTAATCATCCATTTAGTATTCCGTACAAATACGCTCTATCCTTTTTAATAGGTTTTGTATCAAATTTTGTTACAGTCCCCTGTAAATTGACCGTTTCATTGAACTATCTTTCGTACGACTCAGGAGTATATCCAAGAAAGGCAGACAGTTATCTTTTTCCCTTTCAAACGCTAAACATATATTGTTTGATACGGTGTAAAGTTTATCTAGAAAACGTGTTGCACCTTCATGTTTGTCACATATCACAGTTACATTACGAATATGTCTCTTATAGGAAAAGACAAGAAGTGCTTGCAGCAAAGGAAGAGTTTTATTTTCGACGAAGTTATTTACCAAGCTTTACATTGGTAAATATATGTTACAGTGGGCAGAATGTTCCAGAGTTATTTCCAGCTAGAGGGGAAAAAATATATTGAATAACAAAAGGAAGTTAATCAATACACACGTGGATTTAGAGTGAGAAAATATATTGTAATTATGCAATACAGATTAAATCTCTTGTAAAGAGATCAACAGTCAACCTTCTAATATGTGATATGTAAATATGAGGTAACACTGTTCCTAGGGAGCCTCCCATTGCTATACCATCTATTCGTCAAAAATGTTCTCTCTTACACGGGAAATGAACTTCCTTTGTACATAACAATAGCAACTCCTTCAAACACGTCAAAAAGAAAGGGGGATTATTAGATGATGCTTAGTCACAAAGAGTATCGATCGTCTTAGTTAGTGGTAAATTGGTAAATAAGGAGTTGGCAACAAAAGAAAGTACAAACTCTTGTCTCCAATATCAGATATCATTAAGATGATCTATAACTTCAAATGCATCTTACATAGTTTATTGAGAATAATAGTTAGAATTTCTGTTAACCATTTGGCTAATTTATGTGTAAGTGAGCGATCGATAAGGTACGGAGTTGTTAGTGTAATGAATTATAAGCAATCTATACAGATTACGCAACTTGGACCCCATAGATTTTAGAAAAGTGGATTCTTCCTTACTGATACTATGAGTATTCACTCACTGGGGTGTAGATACATTCAACTGCCATTCAGCAGTCATTCCCAAGTAAATTATAACAATAAATATCTAGGCAATATCATAGAATCCACATAAGCGCCCAACTGTTGAAAGTGATAGATTCATTCGATACAGTGTTACAAGTATCAAGAGTGATCAAGAGTTTTACAAGATTGAATGTTATTTTACATTCGAATTTTCTAAGGTTGTCCGAGTAAATATCGGACATAAATTTACTGTCATCACTTAAGTATACTTAATTTTAAGTGAAATATATTTCATTTTATTCATTATAGCAAACTTGAAATGCTTTAAAAATAATCACCATGTTGAAAAATTTATTATAATACTAATTACGAACTAACAACTGTTTAAAAATACTTTTAATAGTAGTAATAACAATAATGGTAATAATGATGTTAATAATAGTAGCGGCAATACTGTGAATACAGAATTCAAAACCTCCACAGTATTGCCATACAAAGAAGGCACCCCAGAAACACTACGTAGGATTCTCAATAAGGCTGGGATTAGAGTGGCATTTAAACTTACTAACTCACTTCGAAATAAGCTTTGTAGGTTAAAAGATCCTATTGATCCAATCAAGTAGAATAACTTAGTTTACCGAATCCCTTGCAATGATTGAGAGGTCAAAGTAGTCGGCCAGGGTCAATTGGGCTATCGGAATATAAAAACCTAGCTAGGTCAAAAATCGTAGATCCTAGTAAGGCAAGGAATTTAGAAAAAAGCTCAGCCATAGCTATGCATGCAACTGCGCACAACCATACAATAGGATGGGACAGGTTGAAAATTCTTAAAACTAACATAACAGCGTGGAGGAAGAGATTGATAACCGAATCTTTGTTTATCGAATAAACACCTAACAAATGCAACAGGAAAATCTTACTGCCCACCTCACAAAGAGACGAGAAAAATTAGGACTATATAAAGGATATCTCAATACTGTGTAGTTATCTTGATATGACTATGGACAATAAATTATGTCCGAAACGTAATCTAGTAATTTGAAACAATTAGTCCCTTTTATGAATTTGGATAATGTAATTAGAAGACGTAGATTATCTGAAAAATGTGATGTATTAGCGCTATACATTTCGAACAATCTGATCACATATTTACTTGTTAAGGCATCATATATGAAAACTGGAAGTGGGGGAAGGACACATATGACATAAAGGAATCCAATAATAAGAAAGATAATGAGCGGAATAAATAAATAAATCTAACTCCCTTTTGTGTGTGCAAAAACAGTTTGTCCTTACATTAAGCCTACCTTGGTAATGCTTATTTTATCGTATTACCAAGATTGTCTTTAAGTCTTATCTTTTATTCCTCTCATTATCTTTCTTATTATTGGATTCCTTTATGTCATATGTGTCCTTCCCCCACTTCCAGTTTTCATATATGATGCCTTAACAAGTAAATATGTGATCAGATTGTTCGAAATGTATAGCGCTAATACATCACATTTTTCAGATAATCTACGTCTTCTAATTACGTAATCTAGTAAACAATATTTTGTTACACTGTGGAATGGAATTACATTCCACCACAGTGCACAAGTTTTACTCCTATATTAACTTTTAATAAGTAGTCATTTTAGAAATATTCATAAAAAATATGAACCAGGTTTAAATTAACTAAAACGTAGTGTTTAGTAATAAAAGTCAAAGGTCTAATCATTTTAACCAATCACAGTTGGCTTTTAACTAACAGAAAAATCAATACCAATGAATAAACAATAATACTATTAAAATATTGACAAATAAAATAGATTAAAGTTTGATGTATATTAATTAATTACTTGTGCTTCTTTTGATAATATCGTTGTCAAAACAAATAGATAAACAGAGAAACTGATCACAAACTGATCACATCCTTCTTGAAGTAGTTAACTTTTAGATAAATGAAATTTCAACAAAGTAAATAATCATGAAATTATTACCTTCAAATGATTCCAAGGAATTGTTTATTAATGATATTGATAAAATGGATTATGAATTCTCATCAAATTTATTTATTCGACCAAATGGATATAAACATTTTCTACCAGTAAGATATCTACATACATCATACATAAAGTCATGGGAAAATACTCTAGCCCATCTAGAAAGGAATAAATATCTTCAATGGGCTCTTATTTCTATATCAGATTATGAAAAATGTCTAGGTTTAAAATTAATTCAGTGGAATAGTGATATTTTGAAATTAGTCATTGAAATAGCACCAATTTTACAACAAATTGATTTATCCAATTTAAACATAAGTTCAATACCATTTGAATTATTAAATCAGTTTTCTACACGTTTATTTTCATTAAATCTAAGTTGTAATCAAATTGAAATGAATATTTTTAAAGATTTTAAATCTGTGTATTTATTGAATAGAAAGAAAAAATATACTAACACTTCAATAAAACAAGATGACTGTTGGATTGAAACATTGAATGAAGTCTGCTTGAATCATAATAAACTCCATGATCAATTTCCTGGAGAGATATTAAATTATATGACTAGTCTAAAACGATTATATATTCAAAATAATGATATAACAAGTATAAAGGGTTTAAATGGTCTTGTACAATTACGTGTACTAAGAGCTGATTTCAATAAAATCACAAATCTACACGATAGTTTATACACTTTGAAGAATATTGAATATATCTACCTTTCGCATAATAATATCAGTCAACTAATATCAGGTAGTCGTCTAAAATATTTAAATCATCTTCGAGTTATCGATCTATCCTATAATAATTTATCATTTTTACCAGCAGTTATATTCAATCTACCCAGTCTACAAACATTAAAAGTTGATCATAATAATATATGCAGTCTACCAACAATACGATCAATATCCAGAATTTCAAAAGAATCAATTGAATTAATTGATCTTTCTAATAATCAAATTAATACAATATCTGATGGATTATTAAGGATAACTAAACGTTTAGATTTAAGTAGAAATAAGCTAAAAATATTCCCAGTAAGTCTACTTAAAATGATTGTAAATATAATGCAGATTAGAAATCGAAAACCAACAGAAATTATTCAACTTGATCTAACTGATAATCCTATTATATGGCCACCTTCTAGCATTATTAATAATGGAATTAACGCTATGATACAATACTATTTAGAATCACGAATAGAGATACAATCATATTATGGTATAAGAACAGTATTTCTAGGTGATAAAAATTGTGGTAAATCTAGTTTAACTATTAGTCTACTCGATCGACAAACACATATGACAGAGAGTTTAGAAGAAGCAACCTACAGCATTGAATCCTATACAATACATTATGATGCTGTAGAATTAACCTCCAAGATTACCATCATGAATCAAGAAGATAACAATGTTAATATGAAGTCACAAACTTTGAATACTCGTCCAACAACTTTAACTATATGGGATTGTTCTGGACATTTAGCATATATACCTTTAATTAGCTTTTTCACTTCTTTACCAACTATTGTTACACTTCTAGTGGATATTACAAAATTTCAACAAAACTCATCTATAAATGATATAAAAGATATGAGAAATCCTGAAAGTTATTTTTATAAATCAATTGGAATCTGGTTAGATATAATTATATTTCGATTAAATTATTCAAAAGTTATCCTATTAGCAACTAAATGTGATCTTATATCATCTGAGAAAGAATTAAATGAACAATTAAAAAATTTATATATTCAAACTTTAAATTATTTAAAATCAAGAAATTTTATATTAAAAGATCAAATTACTCGTATAGAATCATCATTACAAATATCACATGCTACTACACAATACTATGAACATTTAAATGATATTTATGAAAATGCATATATTTCACTTTATCCTAATATCATTCCAATATCATTAAAATATTCAAAATCATTATTAATCAATTTTGATCAATTATGTTATACATTATTTGATTTAGCTATTAAAACTCCAACACATTTACCATTTTGTTTAACATCATTACCACAAATATGGTCAGATATTGAAATGTATTTAGATGATATAAAACATAATTATAATTCAATTACAAATGTTCAATGTTCAAATCAATTGAACATTGAAATGAATGGATGTATTTTATTAAAATCATATTTTTGTCATTTATTACAAAATAAATTTCATTTAAATTTACTTAATTTAAAACAGTTACTTACATATTTAAATAATACAGGAAAAATCTTAATTTTAGATGCTTTTTTATCAAAAGAAGAAGAGAATTATTTAAATTCAACAATGAAATCATTCATGATTAGACCTTATCCAAAAACATATGTTATAATCGATCCAGATTTATTTATGGAATCATTGAAATATTTAATTCATCCAAATCTCCTGTCTATTATTAATCCAACAATATCACGAAATAAGAATATTCATCAAGAGATTTATGTACCGGAGACATTTCAAAAAGATTTATTACGACGATTTTATTCAGCTACCCGACAAGGTGCAATTAATCGACTAATACAAAGTTGTACTGAGTTGAATAAAGGTACAGGTATTGTTAGTGCTTATCTATGGATTGCATTAGTTGAATATAGTAATCTTTATGTAACAAAAAATTCTATTGAAATTGGTAGATCATATGTTGAAATTTTATGGAGATGGTTAGAATTAGCCTATCCAGTCCCTGAACCTGATTTATTTATAAATTTCAATTTTGAGTCAACAGGTGACACTTCATCAGATGAAATAAAATCACCAACTTGGAAATTCAAGTATGTAAGTGAACTATTTGTTGTCATTGTCAATTTTTACGTTGGAATAATAATTCATGTTAGTTCATCTATGATGTAGTGTTCATCATTACACTGAGAACAACCATTTTGCATAAACGATAAATACATGCAATTTTTATTTGCCAAAATGGCTTTAGGCTGTCAGGGAAAGAAGATTTGCTTTTGTTAAGAAAAAATTGCTTCGGCTGTCATTAGGAAGAGATCGATTCAACCAGATGTTTGACTAACTACTAACAGGAATCTATATTACAACAAAGAAACTGAATATAGATTTATTCCTACCTGATACCACTTAAGCATACTAATTATTGAAGGAAATGGTGAGATCTTAAAGGCCACTAAGTCAACTAGTGGATAACGGTCTGGTGTTTGAAGTGATCGTGCTCGATTCGAATCTTAGTGTGAGCAACACTCGCCAAAGGAGTGACATGTCCAACTGACGAGTCCCGAAAAGGACGAATGGCTCATTCTGGATTCCACTGCAAGCCATCACCCGTCGTTTGTATATCAAACAAGTAAGCATTTTCCAAGAATAGAAGACATTCAGAAGATTCTGCGGAATCAGTATCTTCATTAGAGTTTGTTTTTCAAGAAATTCACGATTGGATTTATCTGTTTTGCGAATCACTTTCAAACACTAATTTTCATAAGCGTATAGACATTGTAAACGCCACCATCATTGTTAGGGCAAACAGAGTTGTAGGAAATTAACTCTAAAAGGCAATCAGAAAATGAAAACCACCACTTCATACTCTGACCAGTATAGACAGAAATGTAGAACACAAAAATACTGGTAATATTGGAGTAAAACCTGGACATTGTGGTAGATTATAATTCCATTTTAGTCTGTTTCGTAGAAATGTCAAGTAGTGGAACATTATTATTTACTGGATAATGTTTCCGACACAGTTTGTTGTCTATATTCATATCAGGTAATTCCACAACTTCGAGACAGAGTTTATCTGGTCCTAATTTTCTCGTCCTCTTTGTGATGACAAGGATAGTAGAATTTTCCATATATCTAAGACAGGCGCAGAAGCATTTTTATAGCATGTATTCAGTTTTGATTCGATAAACAAAGATTCAATTATCAATCTCTCCTTCCACCCAACGAAGTTAGCTTTTTCGATACTGGGTGGTGATTGGAAGTGGAATGAAAATTTGAACCACGACCGGATTTGCACAAGCGACCACCGAGATTCTGGCCCGAGGCTCTACCACCTGAGCTGCAAGATCCGACTGTTGGCCGGATTTTTATTTTATTTCAGTTACCAACGGTTTTGCCCGACTACCATTTGAATTCGTGACGCGTTACTACCTCTTGATCATATTCACACTAGTTACCTAGTCAGGACTTCTCATCCAAATCCAAATCTAACCGAATTAGAGAGGAGGAGCATCATATTGATTATCATTTGACTATCTGAGACAGCCGCAGTTTGGTGACTGAACTGAAGTAAAAATGTGGTCAGAAGTTGAACCTCGTAGCTCAGCTGGTAGAGTATCGGGCTGGAAACCCGGTGGTCTCTGGTTCGAATCCGGCCGCAGTCCAGACTTTGATTCCACCGTCAATCATCACCTAGTATCAATAAAACTAGTCTGCCAAACTACGGCTATCTCAGATGCCAAGCTAATTTTTTGACGCTGTTGCTCTATCCCACCCTAGTGTGTGATTGTATCATCGCAAGCAGAGCTATAGCCGGGGATTTTTCTAAAGTTCTTACCTTATTAGTATCCACTAATCTTGATTTAGCTACGTTTTGTGCGCTGTTATTATAATTGTGCCTGGTCGACAACTTTGACCTATGTATTTGACCGCTCAATCATTGCAAGGGATTTGGTAAACCAGATTATTTTGCTTAATTGCATCGATATTGATCTTTTAACTTACAAAGCTTGCTCCTAAGCCAGCTTGTTGGTTTAAATGCCACTTTTATCCTTCATTAGGAATTCTTCGTAATGCTTATGAGGTGCCTTCCTTGTATTGTAAAACAGCAGAAGCTTTGAATTCTCTCTCAACCCTGTCACCATCAGCTATGTGTGGGCTTGTGTCCACTGGTAGTTCTGTAGTTGTTGGTGGTATTTCTGGACCACTTGCAGGTGCTGGTTGTTTTGGTGGTCAACCCAAGAGTTTTTTGAAGTGGTCAGTCCATTGTTTCCCTTGTTTCTCCTCTCTGCTAACTAGGTTTCCTTCACTATCTTTCATTGGTTTCGTCTGCGTTGATCTCTTCCTCCCAGATAGTCACCTGGTTATTTGATATAGTGTTGTCAGGTCTCCGTCTCTCCTACCTGCAGCCTGTTCTACTTTACTTGCAAGTGTGTCGTAGAAGTGTCTTTTGTCTTTCCGTGCACTCTTCTTCACTTCTTTGTCCAGTGTAGTGTTTAATAGATTGTGTTCCTCTATTCGTTGTTCATCCTTGCACTGCACTGCACTGGACTGGTTCATCTTCTGTTTCACCATCTTCCTCTCTCTACTCTATCAGCTCCCATGTGTCCATGGATATCCACTCCTTGTCTCATTTCTTCTTCCCTCCTAACATGGTTATGCAGGTTTCTTTCCACACAGCTTTCAAAGAGTTACAGTGTTCATCCACGCCCGATCCTTCAGGCATATTTCTTAATGTCTACCATTTTTTCCTGATGACTGACCTACGTGAAAATATCCTTTGTAGTTTCGTCCTACAGTTTCTGGAAGTTGAACGTGAACTGTGGTCCATCAGCAACTTCTTTGAAGGTTTTCAACTTGATTTTGAAGGTTCTTTCTACTAGACAGTGAGTCATGTGAATTTACATCTGCTCCCCTTCTTGATCTGATGTTGTGTCGAGTAGGCTGCATCTCCACTTCATATTTAGATGAAGTCGATCTTGTTTTTAGTGTGTTCATCTGGTTAAATCCATGTCGCTTTGATCAAGTGATATTACAGACACCGATTTATCGAATACAGGCTTGTCTGTGTCTGGCTACCATATTAGAGACAACTGAACTATTAAGTATAAAGCTTGTAGATAATCTTTCTAATAGATTTTTATCTTACCAAATGAACTGTTATGTAGTGCGTTCTGTCCTATTTCTTTGATTGGAAGCAATTTTGAGTCATAAGCATGTGAGTCTTGGTATTATAGGGCGACTTTAAAGGCCATTCTAGCAACTAGCAAAATAACCCGTCAGATTGCGGTATTTAGGCTGAGAGATAATTCTCATATAATTGAGAAATGCGATTGGTTGTTTTACCAGTTGCTAGGGGGCCTCTAAATTTACTCTACGTTAATCGCTACCCTAGCAACTCCTGAGATGACCAATTGGGTTCCTCTAATCTATGGAAAATCACCACAGTAGAAATTGTGCAGTTTGATTGGTTAAGTTAGCAGTAACTATGGTAGCCTTTATAGCCACTCCCATTTCCTTCTTTACACCGTGGATGTTCTTACTCGCTGAAAATATTTTTACAGGAAATGAAAATGACTTCTCTCATAGTAGAAGATACTTATGTGTTACAATGACGTATTGGAAAGATAAGGCCAATGATTTTGTGATTAGTTGATTCCTGTTCACATGTTTGCTGTTATATACCGAAAAAGGAATCAACTTCCAGCCTAATAATGGTGACTGTTTAGAAGTACAGGTTTGGTTTGACGCGTAATTATTGATAGACACATAGAACAATGTCGATAAAAACCTAAAGAAATAAAAGTTGTTTAATATTGCAGAATGAAGTATGCAGATTTACATGTTTGTAAAAGGGGTAAAAGAAAAGGAATAGTATAAAAAACTGAAGTCATTTATTAAGTTTTCTCAGGCCAAGGCAGAAATAAAGGTTGCACAGACTTTTTTGCACGTAAAGACTATAGATGTTTTCCTAAATTCCCAAGTCTCAGCAATATATAATGTGCAAATACAAATTCTGTTTGAAAGATTTTATGGAATGTGATAGATGAGCACTATCAACCAAATATGACAGAAGTGAACTACTTATTGACTTCCCATATCCCTTTTCCTAACCATGAGTGTAGATGCTCAGAAACACTTTTATTGAGCAGTTCAATGATATGTTCGTTATAGCTTTTTCCACAGAAGAAGCTGAATTAATAAATACACAAAGAAGTATTGATTGGTCACAGGAGTCGAACCAGTTTCATGTTGTCTAGTCCTGAATGCAGACCAAATCCTATTGATCATATTTACAATGTGGCAATCAAGCTAGGAAGCTCAGCATCCCGGTGCACATTATTAGTAGATGTTAGTTGGTTGGAGGCAATCGACAGGAAGCCCTGCCTCCAACTAACTAGCACGAAAAGTGGCAAAACTGGCCAGTTTGTCTTTTATCTGAACAACAGTCATCGAACAACAGGAAAATGATAAGTAAAGGTTTACAGCATAGACAGTTCTTCTGATGTCACCAGAAAACCATTGGAAGAGGACTTCACCAGGTGCATCCCCATTAAAATGGATCTTCATGAATAAGAACTTCTTTTAAGCAGCTATTTGTTCAGGTTTCTTATTAATTTTTCCTTGTGTCTGTATATAATACTACATGAGTAACCCGATTCTTGCAGTGTATTATAAATGTGTCGTAGCTGCTTTTGTATTACATCATCGAAGTAGATCCTTCCCGCTTTACTTGGAACAGATCTAACTAAACTTCTTCCATACCGAAAAGAAATGTATGTCCTGACATACAAGAATGATTCATTCAATATCGCGCTAATCAAGGAGGTGTTTACGATGTCAGTCAGTTTCCATTTTTGAAATCACGGGTACAATACAGGGAAAACTGTTTTTTGAACCAGGTAGCTTAGTTAATATAGAAGACAGTTTCTAGGTGTTAGCTGGTGAACACAACCAGCCTAACCTACTTTCCATGGTTGTTGGCAGTCGTCAGAAAGGAGTATCTACAACCTCGACGGAAATGATGTCCTACTTAGGATTCGAACCTGGGTCACAGAGTGTGGCAGTCAATGACTTTATCATTGAGACTGGGTTAC